CGCGTGATTATATTTAACTGAATATTCGCCTTATGATAAATTTTCTATTATTTATTCTGCGTCATTATACATTTTTTTTTACTTTCGAAAGAATGAGAAGAGTTGTCTCAAAACTATTTTATTGTTATTTAAATTTTTATTGTTACATTCTGAAATTAAATAAATCCGCTTTTCAATTAACTAAAAATAGGATAAAATTCGTTAATATTTTTCTTTTGATTTCTTTATATTCTTTAGGTATCTATAAATGTACTGGAATATAATTACGAGTTTCATTCTAATTTCATATAAATTTTTATACGAAAATCTGCTATTAACACACAGCTTCAAGTTCTGAAATAAAAAGTAGTAGGAGCAAAGTTTTTTTTATTGCAAGTGGTAAAGTCATTTGATGTCTTTTTGTACTGAATCATCAGTCCTTGGTCTTCGCTCGTTTCGGATCGGCAGCGAAGGCGGAATCGCGCGATCGAAAATTCTTCGGCTAGTGCTTGGCAAAGACGATGACCTCGAGTCGAGAGTATCTGGACGACGTTTTCCTTGGCCCGTTGACCTTGTAATTGCCCTGTAGCGTCTGCTGGTGCGCCACAGTCGAGTCTTTATCGAATCCCCCTCCCGATATGTATATATCTCTCTCTTTCACCCATTCTGCGTCGATTTTTCTTTATCGTCGTTTGTGAGTGACCCGCAACTTTCGGATGCTTTCTGTGTTTCGGTTAGGTAATTTTCTTCTTCTCATTGCGCGCGAAAAAGATTTCTTATTCAGCTTATTTTCGCAACATTACACGCTTATTGTAAAGTCTAATACGCAAAATCGATACATTATGTATGGAAGAATATAGAAGGGAGCTTGATTTAATAAGATCACTTTTATTGGCGCAGCGCGTCATTGCCTGTCATGCACTTATCGCGTTTTTTTATTAACTTCTTAATAGCCACGATTTGTCGTGAGGTCTTTATTAAGACGACAAGGTTGGTCCCGATATGATTTTTGTACATCTATTGCGATTCCATTACGTGCCTATCCTATTTCCGGTAATCACGACGTTTTTCTGTGTTGTTATCAGTTCAAAACATTGTGGTAGAATTACCGCATAATGCACGAAATATGTAATTTACTGTGCTGCGGAATATCATTATATATAACTCTTCACGTTTTCAGTATTTCGACATAAGTAATAATATATTTATTATCGCGTCTTCGCTATTATTATTCTACATCACAACGGAACATTTAGTGACAAAAAATTTTTTTAATTTGTGTTAAATCCTAAAGAATATTTATACAAAATAATATGAAATATTAAATTTACTTTATTCTGTTTCTTTTTACTGTCCCATTTAAGACGGTATCTTTTCAATTTTTTATCTCCATATGATTACTTCATATGCAGCATTTTTTATGCGTATGCGTTTTATATGTATATATTATATATATATATATATATATATGTGGAAGAAAATTGAAAAGATGCTGCTCTATAAATAGAACTTATAAGATGGAGAGAAGAAATATATTAAATTGTAATATATTTGTTGTAAGCAAAATATTATTATTAAAGAGTTAAAAATTATTTTTAACTGTAAAAGATAAGATATGAAACGTACATTTTATGATTGATAACACGTTGAAGAAATATTAGATAAATATTGCATAAAAGCGTAACTTTTAATATCGTCAGAGTGCAACATAAAGAAAATTTTTTTTACAAAATATATATCACAAAAACAACTTCAATATAAGATAAACTTTTTAACTTTTTGAACTTCATTATAAGATGAAGCTGTTTTTATGATATTTTATATATATATCTGCTGATATAACTTTTTATATCTGCTGATTAAGTTTTATTTTATTTTATTCCCTCTTAATTACTGGACGGTGCAGCGTTAAAATGCTAAATAAATGCTGCCATAATTAAAATACGTAGATATAAGTCGAGATATAAATATAAACTTTACGGAACATTTGCATTTTGCAATTCTATGGAACACAATGCAAAGGCACTTTTTCCTACGTCTAGTTATAGGACACCGTCTTTTAATGCTTGGTGATCAGAGAACTTATACGCTCATAACGATTCAGTAGAGTAGCTGAGATTATTTGCGTTCTCTTATGCAAGTCTTGGGTATTAATGTTATTATACTATCTTCCTGCATCATTACTGAAAGAAAAATGTACAAAATTTTAATAAATAATTATTTTAATAGTATTAATTTATGAAAAATAAATGTTTGCTAAATAAAGAAATATAATAGTTAAATCAAATTAACGGTGCTTTATTTATTAAATAATGTGTTCATATTCAGTAAATATTTAACTGGTAGTATTTATAAAGAAATAATTATTTAAATTGTGTTTGAATTGACGTCAAATTGATGTTAAAATCATTGTATCAATATCGATTTGACAATTCAATAACTCATTTCTCACTGAATAATATTTAATTTTTAAAAATAAAGTTAAAAAAATAAATTTTTTTAAAAATATTTTCTCTGTACGAATAATTTTTATACTCACTGTAAGTGTATAATATCGATTACATATTACATTGCTGATTACATACTATTAAAAAACATTTAATTTTTTATTAATAGCGTTAGTGTTAAAACAGAATGAAATAGATCCGTTTACATATCGAAATCCCCCAAAATTTGTGTACTTAAAATGAAATAAATATACCTGGGCTATGAAGAAAAAGAAAGCGAAGATGCTTAGTGCAAAAAATGTAAGCAACGCGAACAGACCTAATGTTAAGAAATATTTTATTTGACAATACTAAAAATGTGTTTAGTATAAAAGCAGAATGCAATGTAATAATTTTATTTTTCGACGTATCTTTCGACATTTTTAAGGTAATACATATATCAGGAAAGAGAAGCAGATAATAGCGAAACAAACTTTTCTCATTCTCGCCGCGCAGTAGCTACGCCGCTGTAATGATCGCATCGTGCATGCGTTTTCGCCGCGCGTTACCACGCGCCGCATTATCATAATTATGCGAGAGACCCGCACGCGGCGTAACGGGTCGGTCAAGACGGACAATCGAATTACATCGGTCGGCCGTATTGGCCCAAGTTCTCGATGTTCGCCGTGGGAAAACGGGCGTTTCTTCGAACTGTAATTACGCCCGCGTTTTCCACGGCGGCGGCGGCGGCGGCGGCGCGAGTAATTGCGCTCGTTCGTTCGCGCGGGCGGTATAATAAAAGCGGTTTGAATTGTAAAAATTTACAATGGAATCACGCCTGAAAATCCGAGCGCGGGCTAAGACTAAAATTAGGGTACGTTAATTAGAGAGATTGAATCGTCTGTCCACTGATTTTGCGATAACGTTGCTAGATCGTTGTGAAATTACATGGAACGGTTTTGCTAAAGTATCTAATTTAGCTTCACTGTTAAATATTGAAGATACAATGTTAACATAATTTCTGGAGTTAAGTAATTATAATTTGTTACGTTTTTAACTTTTATTTGTGTCAAAATTTTAATCACTCGATTTCTGATCGATTTTAAAGTAAATAACATGCATTTAGTAAATAATAAAATAATGTCGTATGCATTTATTTAAAATAAATTATTTAATAAAGTAAATTTGAATTAAATT